CTGCATTGCCAAGGACTATCCTCAATAGTGTTTCGTGATGAGCACGGATTTGTGATTGAATTATCCAATCACTGTACACGAGTGTTTTCATTGGTTAAATATGAAATCGTAGGCAATCTCCCTACGAATTCCATAAATAAGTCAATAATATTTATAACGTTACCGAATGAAATCTGCTCATTCACTTTCTTGGCTTGATTCGTGTGTAATTCGATTCGAACCAATTAAACAATTTCCTGTCGGCAACATGTTATTGACTGGAACCACCTCGCCTTTCATAGACATGGCATTCATGCCAAATCAAACGACAATAATTGGCCTTCGCAGGGGCGCGAACTGTGCGTGGACTGCGCCTGCGCTATAGTACCAGCAATAGCTAGCTTGTTAGTACTCAAGTGAAGTGGAAGAGTAGACTAACGTTATACTATATGGTATTTATTTTTGTTGTTTTGTATATTTGGTGGAATGTTCTGGTTTCGTTGAATACTACCGGTAGTACGCTGTATGTACCATGTGGTTCATAGACAATGACGATACGAGAAACACTCATGAGAGAGTGGGCGTTCGACCACTAGCTCGTCGCACGCAATACTGTACTATACTTCTCACTGTAACTTGACAAGTCGATTCATTCATATGCTCACTTAAGTCTTCGCTACAGTAGGTACATGCATGCATTTCCTGACGATCTTGTATTCTGTGACAGTGAAGTTCTCGTTGCTAAATGCGACGTAATATACTAGTAGTGCTGCACGCACGGAGTTGTAATATACTAGTAGTGCTGCACGCACGGAGTTGGGTGCACTTATGTCACTCACACTGTACTGACCGATATACTCCGAATATCAGAATACAAAAACTACATACTTCAAGTAATATTATCAATTAGCTCATTAAAATTAGGTACTCTCTTTTAAGAGAGCTCTTTTCACTCTCTCTAGCAATCAAGCAACAAATCGCCGACCACCTCACAACCTAGCGATCGGAGCATAGTAATTGCGTCGTCACTTCGATTTTGCATCCAATCATGCGCATCGGTGTCGTTTTGACGGTCTGCTTGGCAGCAACGTGGACCAACCTCGCCACTGCCAACGAACAGCCACATCAACGCGTTCATGGCCTTCAAGGAGTGTTGCATGAAGGTAAGCTCAACCTAGGCCGCAGTGTGTCTGGCAACTTAATTCGAGCTGACACCCCCGAACCCACAAAGGCTACTGCTCCGACTCCTGCATCAACACGTGTACCAACGCCCGAGCCGACTTTTGCGCTGACGCCTTCCCCCACACCGTCATCGACACCCGCGCGCACGACTAACACCCCTACACCAACCACAACAGTTGCAACCCCTGCACCTACGAATGCGACAACACCTGAATCAACAACAGGTACTCCCGCAACAACTACAGCTGCTGCGACCCCTGCACCTACGACTGTCACTCCAACACCAACCACAACTGTTGCAACCCCTGCACC